AACACCTGAGGGTGAAGGTCATCTTTAGTCAGTCTGAGCTATAGAAAACCCTGCCTCAGACAAAGCAAGCCCCCAAAACCCAAACTAAAATTAAAAAAAAAAAAAAAGTGGAATACACCAGATAGAATCAGATCCCAGCTCAGTAGGGACGGGTGGGCAGCATTCAGTAGGGGGAATAGGGCAAGTAAAGGAAAAGGCCCAGAGGCCCTGAGGTTCCACATCCCTGGGATCTGGTGAGTGGGAGGGAGGAAGTGGGGGAGGGCTGCTGCTAGCCTCCTGTGGCTCCGCCCCCCAAGGGAGTTTCCTGCTAGGCTGGTGACTCATGGTCTGAGAAAGTTATTCCCCTTTCTCTCTCCATCCTTTTACTCCAGCAAAAGGAAGCTCTCCGCCTGCACAGAGAGCCTCACACACCTCTGTGTACCCACTTCAACAGCGACCCTAATGGCCAGGAACCCTGTAACCCGGCTCTCCCATAAGGGTCTATGCAGAGCCGACAGAAATTTCTCTTTTAAAATATATAGTCACGTGTCATATAGGAGCAGTTTCAATAAATACGTCATTGTGTCAGTAGGTGATTTCCCCAAGCAAATGTCAGAGGAAGCACTCCCACAAACGAAGACGGCTCTGGTTCCATTAGGTGGCGTGGGGGGGGGGGTCACAGTTCCACATGGGCTTGTCACTGACTAAAGCATTGTTATACAGCATAAGGCTACATTGGAAACTGATTGTTTATTTTTGGGAGGAGTTACACAGGGCCTCACTATGGTGGTCTGAAACTTGCTAAGCAGACCAGTCTCACAAAAAAGTGAGCCATTTGTGGGACGGTGGTGGCTCACACCTTTAATCCCAGGACTCAGGAGGTAGAGGCTTCTAGAAGGGTCTTTGCCAGTTCAAGGCCAGCCTGGTCTACATAGTGAATTCCAGAAGAGCCTAGGCTGTATACAGTGAAAACCCTGTCTCAGAAAAAAAACAAGCAAAAAAAGTGAGCCATTTAAAGGAAACCATTTCAGAAATGATGGGAGGGGCTGGAGAGAAGGCTCAGCGGTTAAGAGCATGTTAGTCTTGCAAAGGACTCAGGCTCAGTTTCCAGCACCCACATGGTAGTTCATAACCACCCCAACTCCAGTTCCAGGCCATCCAGTGTCTTCTTCTAATCTCTGCAGACTGGCATGCACGTGGACGGTGCACATATCAACACGTAGGCAAACCACTCGGAAATTTTGCAAAAAGAAAAAGATGGGAGGAGTTAGGTGGGCCAGGAATTGGAATCCTAGCACCAGGAAAGACAGAGGCGGGAGGAGCACTAGCCTGGTCTACATACTGAGTTCATATATTTCCAGGCCAGTCAAGGACACATAGGGAGACCCTATTTCAAAATAACTAACAAACAAAAGAAAGAAAAAAAGAAATGAAGGTAGAGCTGGGGTATGGGGAGGGTAAAAGTCACGCAGTTAATTCAGGAGAGCAAGCTGGGGCCCTAAGGAACCACTAAAATTCTAAGCTCAGGAGGGACAGAGGCAAAACAGGAGCGATGGCCCAGTCAGTAGAGCCCTAAACCAGCCTGGGGAGAAGATGAGGCAGGCCGCCCTGAAAAGAGCTCTGGGTACAGGGGAGGACACTAGGAGCTGATGGACAGGCTGTGAGCATCCCAGGACACCCCAGAGAGTGGGCCTTGTTATCTGTCCTGTAAGTGCAGCCAGGCCTAGGTGAACACCTGAGTGAGCTGTCTCCCACTGGACCAGGAAGGCCTTAGGAATACCTGCCCCGAGGCCTTGGAGAGATATAGAGAAGCTGCCCGCCAGCTATGAAGGTGACCAACTGCCTCAGTTTACCCCAGGTGCTTTCCCAAACTGGAAGGAGCTGGTCCCCTGCTGTCCCTGATGGAGCTGCAAGGCTCAGTCCCCCTCAACCCCATCAGTTTCTGTTCCTAAGAACATCCACTCACCTCAGAGCCAGAGGGCTCAGGAACCTTGGACCCTTTCATGAAAATGTGTTTCAACTGACAGAAGCTTCCTAACCACAGTTCAAACTCCAGGTCCAGCTCAAGCAGGTCGTCACAAAGCCACTCTGCCGCTCTCAGGTGAGTCTCATTCCCAGCCCCAGCAGCCTTCCGACCACGGCTTCCCTAATAGCACCATCAGCATGCTCACCCATTGTGGCCTGCTCCCTCCGCCTCTGTCCTCCCTTTGCTCTCCCATGCTTACAGGGCTCCCTGCACACAGTTTCTTGTGTTTGAAGTTCAGGGAAACTTCACAGGGTAGCAACTCCCAAAGTCTCACAGAGAAGACACTCCTGGTTCCTCCCAACTCTCTCCTGTCAGACCTCTCCACCTAACACTGACCTCTGACCACATAGGGTAGGCTTTGCATCAGATTCCTGTCATCCAGTGTGGCGGCACACACCTTTAATCCCAGCACTGGGGAGGCAGAGGCAGGTGGGTCTCTGTGAGTTAGAGGCCAGCCTGGTCTACAGAGCAAATTCCAGAACAGCCAAGGCTACTATGAGAAACCCTGTGTCGAAAAATCAAACCAACCCAAACAAAACAAAACAAAAGATTCTTGTCATCCATTGGCTGCCAGGAGGCATTGTATAGAACCAGCACTTAACTGCATGAACCCACCATGTCTTCCCTGGGTGATACCACAAACCTCTCAGATGTCCCCACTGCAGTAAGGAGAGCTCCTGGGAGGCTCCCATTCCTCAGTTATTCTTGCATCCCTCCCTTTCTTTAGCTAACACTAGCTTCCTGAAGGGTGATTAGGCACACCAGACACCCATGTCCTCATCTCCCTTGCCGGAACACCCCAGCGAAGAACAATTTCATCATGACCACCCTGTACCCTGTGGGAATGTGTCATCAAATGTCTGACCCAGGATACAGGACATTAACGTGGAGATAAAAGGATGGAGGGGATGTATCCCTGCTGCCATCCCTAAACACAAGGCCTGGAGTATGGGAAGAGGGCACCTACTCCCTCCCTCTCCCTTCAATCCTTGCCCTTTGGCCTTGCTTGGAGTCTGCACCAACACATCTGGGATCACTCTCTGCAGATGTGAAGATCTGTGGGGACAACAGTGGACGGTACAGGACACAGATCTGAGCTCTACCCAAACACGGAGATTACTGTTGTTACTGGCCAAGCAGCTCAGAAGCCAAGGGATTCCAGATTCCAGGCAGCCAGACAGAGGTCTGGCTGAGCTGCACAATAATCCTGCCTCAGGATTAGCCTGATTGAAGGGGACATGAACCCAGTGGCTGGTCAGGAGCTGCATGGGGAGGCCAGAGCAGTGCAAAGGGGAAGGAGGTCTTCTAGAGGAAGACCATGGGTGTGGCTGCCCTGGCTGTCCCCCAAGCTCCACCCACTTCCTGGGCTGAGGAAGAGGCAGCATGAAGACCAGACAAAGCTGAGAGGTATCCCCTCCTAGGCCCTCCCCAGCTGCTCCAGAGTCAGCAAAAATAATTCCTGGGGATGGACATAGCTGGTCACTATACCTCACCAGGCCAGGTAGGCACTTAAAAGCCTGTGTGTCTACTGCCTTCTTAGGGCAAGTAGCCAGCCATGACCGGAAACCCTGGAGGTGTGCAAACATCCGAGTCACTTCTCAGCAGGAAGGAGCTGGGGTGGGGCCAGCTCAGATGACAGACAGTCCAGGCCCTGGGCTTGGCTCTTTCTCCTCTGGGAGGAATAAAGGGTTAATTACTCAGAGGCCTGGGCAGGCAGATTCTTTCTGGGCACCCAGCCTTTTCCTCCTCCACACTTTCAGCTCTGTAGGGGGACCCTTTTCTTGCTCCCTTAGTATCTAGGGCTTGTCCTGACCTAGACGAAACTAGACTATGCTCTGTGCTGCCGCGCCTGCCTGTTCCTCTGCCCAGGCTGATGACTGCTCATACACCACCCTCATAGCGCCCCCTCCAGTCCTGTGCCTCTTCTCTAACATCCTTTTTACTTGTTTACTGTCTTTCTGGTACCCTGGAATGTCACCTTGACCTCCACGAGGACAGAGATTATTGTCAGTTTCCTTCATTCCTGACACCAGCCAGGCGGTGGTGGCGCAAGCCTTTAATCCCAGCACTCAGGAGGCAGAGACAGGTGGATCTCTGTGAGTTCGAGGCCAGCCTGGTCTATGAGAGCTAGTTCTAGGACAGGCTCCAAAGCCACAGAGAAACCTTGTCTCGAAAAACCAAAAAAAAAAAAAAAAAAAGTTTCATGACTGAATGACTAAAGAGCACACAAACATTTAGCCGGGTGTGGGGCAGTATGCCTATAATTCCAGCACTTAGGAGGTAAAGGCAGAGAGAGCAGAAGCAAGGCCATCCTCGGTTACACAGTGAGTTCAAGGCCAGTCTAGACTACACGATACCAAATAAGAAAAAAAAAAAGAGCTAAGAGCAGGGGCTCATATCAACTGTCGCCTATAGGGGCACCACAGTTCCTACACTTACTGTGTGGTCTTTTTCACTTGTTTTTGTTTTGTTTTTTTATTTATTTTTTATTTATTAATTAAAAATTTCCACCTCCTCCCATTTCCCTCCCACTCCCCCATTTGCTTTGTTTGTTTGAGACAGGGTCTCACTATGTAGCTCTGGCTGTCCTGGAACTCGCTCTGTAGACCAAGCTGTTCGGAATTTACAGAGATTCACCTGCCTCTGTCTCCCGAGTGCTGGAAGCCACCACCGCCTGGCTTCGGCTGTGTGAGCTCGAACCATGTACATAAACGCTGTGTCTCATTTAAGTGAACGAATAGGAAACGAGTAATAAACTGACCTCAGAGGCTAGCGGCCGATCAGTCGTCACACAGACGAGGACAGCTGAAAGCGCTGCCTTATTCACCTGCTTGCTCATCTGCTCCTTCCCCCACTACAGAGTCAGCCCCAGTCTACCTGCCCACTGCTCTATCCTTAATTCCTAGCACAGCACTGGACGAGGCAACCAGGCCTCCTCTCACATCCGGGACCATGGAGCTGGGGAGCTATCATGGGCTAGAAGTAAGAGGCTCACCAATCTGCTTCTCCAGAGCAGCTGCTTCACAGACGGTTGCCCGGGGTAGGATGCCAGGGTCAGTAAAACTGGTCTGCAGGAGGCAGCTCATGACGAAGAAGAAGAGGACAGCAGCAATGATGGGGACAGCCAGGGTCAGTCTGCGGGCCAGGTAGGGACAGCTAGGAGAGAAGAAAGCTCAGGTTACCTCAAGGCTGCTTCTTCCTGAAGTGCAGCGGGAGCTGAGTGCAGCTACTCCCCATAGTGCTCAGAGCAGACATTACTAGTTAATCCTGGACTTCTTCCAACAGCAGATGAGAACAACAGATATTCTCCCTCATCCCAGCCAGCAAGCAGATCCCTCTTCCTCCATCCCTTCCTGCCAACAGGAACTTGCCAGGTAGTCAAACTGGCTGTGAACTCTTGATTTTTCTGCCTCCACTTGAACACACACTCACCACACCTAGCCTTCTTTAAGGCAGCACACACTTGTATTTCCAGCACTCAGAAGGCCCAAGCAGGAAGATCAGGAGTTCAAGGCCATCCTTCACACAGAGTAAACTCAAGGCTAAGCTGGGTTATATGAGACCCTGCCTCAAAAACAAAAATAAATAAATAAAAACAAACCAACAAGGAATTACTGCTGCTCCTGGGCAGTCTTTAGGAGTTGGCACCATGGCTGAAGACATCAAGACCAAAATCAAGAACTACAAAACTGCCCCCTTTGACAGCCGCTTCCCAAACCAGAACCAGACCAGGAACTGCGGGCAGAACTATCTGGACTTCCACCGCAGCGAGAAGGCAATGACCGCAAGTGTGAGTAGTACCGGCGTGTACACAAGTCCCTCTGCCCCATATCATGGGTCTCAGCCTGGGATGAATGCAGAGCAGAAGGCACATTTCCTGGGGAGATCTGACCTGGCTCCACCCACCTCTCCTCTGTTCGCTCTCCTCTCCCCATACAGTAAAGGGGGACCTGGGTATATGATGGTCCCTACTCTGGGACCCTGAATCATGATACAACATCTAATAAAATTTCACTGAAAAGTTAAAAAAAAAAAACAAACAAACCAACAAAACCAGGCCACTGAGATGGTTCAGAATATAAAAATGCTTGTTATTAAGTTTGATGGCCTGAGCTTGCTCTTGGAACCCACGTGATGAAAAGAGAAAAGGATTCTCACAAGATGTCCTCTGACCTTTACATGCACGCCACAAAACATACACATGCACACAGTCGCAAAATAAATAAAATCCACCAGCCATGGTGGTGCATACCTTTAATCCCAGCACTGGGGAAGTTGAGTCGGAGGGATCTCTATGAGTTCAAGGCCAGCCTGGTCTACAGTGCTAGTTCTAGGATAGTCAGAGCTGTTACATAGAGGAAACCTATCCCGAAAAAAAAAAAAAAAAAAAAAGAAAAAGAAAGAAAAAAAAAACAACAAATAAAATGTAATTAAAAACCAAAGACAGAGACAGAGATGGAAACAGAGAAAAACAGGGGCTTCCTGGGCTGGTCCTGAACCCCTGGACTCCTAGGACTCCTTCACGTAAACACAACGTTGTATATAGCTCAGTACCCAGCACTTTAATATGTCCTGTCTATGGGTGCTTTGCCTGCATGCAGGTCTGTGTACCATGTGTGTGGCTGGTGCTTGAAGAGACCAGAAGAGGGCACTGGAATGGTAGTTAGAGACAGTTGTGAGCCACCACAAGGGTGCTAGGGAATTGAACCCGGGTCCTCTGGAAGAACGACTAGAGCTTTTAATCGCCAAACCATCTCTCCAGACCTGTCCCAGGACTTAGCTGTGGCCTCAGAACCCTTTTAGTAGACACAGGGACACAGAACTTCAGGAAGCCATTACCAATTAAGGGGGCTGCCACTTGAGACAACCACCACGGCAATGTTGCGATGTCACGCATTCATGCATTCAGCCAGCTGCTCCACAAATATTTACCGAGTTCTTCTCTGTGCCAGGCAACGCTCTCAATAAACAGCAGGAATAATGGATATGACAAGTGTCTCTCTGCCGAGTGACTTATGATCGACTAGGGAAACGAGCCCGGTAAACAGGGAACTGCCACACATGGTGAAGTGCGCAGCAGAATAAAAAGATGCCTGCCAGAGACGACACTGCAGCCACACCCCGAGGAGCAAGGGGACAGGCAAGGAAAACGGCATGCACCTGCCCCGACCCCCCAGACACCAACTCCAGGCTGATCCAAGATGGCCCCAGGAACAGCTCCTGAGATAGCCTGCTCCTCCCTCCCAGGAGGCAAGCTGCTGACCACGGCTTCACATCCACCTTTAACCCCTTGCTTCCATTTTAGGGCTGCAATGTTCTAGAAGTTCTGAAATTGGTGGGGGTGTGGCTTTAGGATGAAGAGGACCTACTGGGGGCGCTCTGTGTCTTCTTTGCCACTCTGCTGACCACTGCAAAGCCACTTTCTGCAAACATAGATCATATTGGTCATTTCCCCGCCTGAAACCCTCCGATGGCTTCAAATGGAATCCAATCTCAATTGGCCGGTTAGGCCAACCTTGCTGTGAGATTTGCTGAGGTTTCTCCTGTATCAACCTACAAAACTGTCCTCACCCCCTCTACCCACATCACACTGGCCTCGTGGCAGTCTCCACAAGTGTGACTCTGTTCTACCTCAGGGCCTTTGCACTTACTGCTCATGTTCTCTGGAACGGTCTTCCCTCCTCAGAGGACTTTCCTTGATAGTTCATATAAAGCAGCCCTCTTGCGAATGCCACACGTGGTACACATACACGTGCAATTAAACACTCAAAGACATAAAATAAATAAAGCTTAAAAAATATAAACTAAGCCCAGCAGTGGTGACACACACCTTTATTTCCAGTACTAAGGAGGCAGAGGCAGGCGGATCTCTGTGTGTTCGAGGCCAGCCTGGTCTACAGAGTGAGTTCCAGGACAGCCAGGCTACACAGAGAAACCCTGTCTCCAAAAACAAAACAACAAAACAAAAATCAACTAACGTAGGGCATGGCAGCTCACACCTCTAATGCCAGCACTCTGGAGGCAGAAGCAGAACAACTCTCTGTGAATTTGAGGCCAGCTTGGTCTATACATTGAGTTCCAGGATACCCAGGACCATAGAGTAAGATCCTGTCTGAAAAAAAAAGTTACCTGCGGCCGGGCGGTGGTGGCGCACGCCTTTAATCCCAGCAGGCAGATCTCTGTGAGTTCGAGACCAGCCTGGTCTACAAGAGCTAGTACCAGGACAGGCTCCAAAACCACAAAGAAACCCTGTCTCGAAAAACCAAAAAAAAAAAAAAAGTTACCTGCTGTGTGGCTATGTTACCTGCTTCTGTCTGGCTAAGTGACAAGCAGACAGCATCCCTTGCACGTTGCCCAGTAAATACCCACCAAATGAATGGTGTGCCCCTCATGGAGAGACAGTAGCTGCCTTTTTTTTTTTTTTTTTTTTTTTTTTTAGTACTACAGACCAAACCCTATGCCTTGTCCACGCTAAGAAAGCACTTGGCCATCTGTTGTCTCCAGCCCTACCACCTGACATCTTGTGAAGATTTACTATGTACTAGGTATTGCCCTAGTCAATAAATCATTATAAATAATACATACAGGCCAGGGATATAGCTCAGTGGAAGAATGCACTCTATCATGCACAAAGCCCTGAGTTCGTTCAGTCCCCAGTAGTCCCAGAAGCACAATAATAATACTGATGATAATGACAATATCAAATCAATACCTAAAGTGCAAACCAGACACAATGCTACATGCCTATAATCATGGCATTTAAGAGGTTGAGCAAGGAGAATCCTGAGAACTTGAGGCCAATCTGGGCTACAGAGAGCAGTGCTATCTTAAAAATACTAATTCTGTGGGGCACAGTGGCACTTGCCTTTAATCCCAGGCAGGTGGGTGTCTGTGAGTATGAAGCCAGCTAGGACTACACAGCACTAACAGTCACTATGTGCTAGCTACACAGTGAGACCCTTTCCAAAGTTAACTAACAGTCACTATGTGCTAGCTATACAGCTGTGCACTTCACATGCATTTCGCAAGTCTTCACAGTGACCCTCTAACCTTGTGCCCAAACGTCACAGATGAGGAAGTTTAGAAAGCTTAAACGACCCGGGCAACACAGGTCAGGAGCATTCACATGACTGTGAAGTTCATGCTGTTGACCACAGCTAGCTGCTGCCTTCCCACTGGAGCCAGAGGGGATGGGATATCTCTTGGGCAATGCATCTGTCAGGAGGCTTTGGGCCAGATGAGGTTCCAGAGATCCACAGGGGCAGGGAGCAAAGTCAGGACATGTGAACAGTGCTTTTGAAGCCTGCAGCAGCCTTCCCCTAAGGACCAGAGCCAGCCAATGCCAAGGGCTCCAAATGGGCTACCCTCTGTTCCAAACATCTCTTCATGTCTAATCCTCCAAAAGAACCAGCAATGTTGGACAGCTCTCCTAGTTCACGCACAAGCTGGGACCTGGGGAAGGAAGACTGGGACTTGTAGAGCCCTTGGCAAACACCAATACCAAGTCCTAGGCTCTGATTTCCACAGCTAGATTCAAGATCATCCAATTACAAGCTGGCATCTCCAGACTCCCAGCAAGTGATCCTGCCCATTCATTCATTCAACGGTCGGTCATTTGCTGTGCTGAGCGCTGACTGCATCCCTTGCACTGGGTCTAGGCACTAAACACACAGCAGTGTGGAAGTTTGCTATCCTTGCGCCAAAAAGACAGACACGGAATGACCAAAGGCATGCATGCGTGCATGCGTGTGCAGAAGGGAAAGAGTGGAAAGAAATGAGTGACCCATGAGTGTAAACAGAGGTGCTCCAAACAGTGCAAAGGCCCTGAGGCAGGCGGGAGCAGGCAGGGCAATGAGCTTGAGAGGGTAACTCAGCAGAAAAGGACTAAGAGCAAGCAGCAGGCACAGAAGGCCATTATCAGAGCTCTGGCTCTCACCTAGAGGGAGAACCAGGGAGCCTGACATCTGATGTCAAGGGGTTGAGGCTGCTGTGAGAATGGATAGTAGAGAAGCTGGAAGCCCCACTGGGAAACTACCACAATCCACCAGAAGGGAAGCAAAACCAGCAGGAAAGGTCTCCCTCAAGGCCACCTGTACCTTCCCGGAGCAGCAGCGAGCGAGGGTCTTCTATCATCCCTGTCCTCACTAAAGCGCACCCACCTTGGAATCCTCCGAGCCCCAACACCCAACACCCAGCAGGAATATGGGTTAACACAACCCTGCTCCCAAAGTCATCAACCGAGAGTGGGAGCAAGAGGCAATGAAGGCTGAGGTAACTGAGTGGTCTGTTCTCCCTGAGCCCGGGAGTTCTCCCTTCTTCTCTGGCTGGGGGCAACTCAGGATCATCCTGAATCCATCCAGAAGTTCAGGTCCAACTCTTACACTGAGGGGTCATAGGGCAACTACAGCCAGCACTACTTCCTCCAGCCTGGGTTATAACCCCGGGCGTGGGCATGACGAAGAGTGGCCCAAGGGCTCCGGTAAAGCACATCTACGGCACACAAGAGGCCACAAGAGGCGGAAATGAAACTTGGCTTAAGGGCCAAGCTGGGGTCCCAGAGTTTCTCTGTGAAAACCACCCTGAGCCTTCTTCCATCCTGACCCAGGATGGAAGGGCAGAACATTCTGAGGGACAGTGGGAAAGAAGCAAGTCTTCACCTTGTGGCTGCAGACACATAATCCAAGTCCTGCAAAGTGACCCGAGAACTGGCCTTTTAAAAAGCTTTACCAAAACCAGGCGGTGGTGGCGCATGCCTTTAATCCCAGCACTCGGGAGGCAGAGGCAGGCGGATCTCTGTGAGTTCGAGACCAGCCCGGTCTACAAGAGCTAGTTCCAGGACAGGCTCCAAAGCCACAGAGAAACCCCGTCTAGAAAACCAAAAAAAAAAAAAAAAAAAAAAAAAAGCTTTACCAGCTGGGCAGTGGTGGCACAAGCCTTTAATCCCAGCCCTCAGGGAGGCAGAGACAGGCAGATCTCTGTGAGTTCGAGGCCAGCCTGGTCTACAGAGGGAGTTCCAGGACAGCCAGAGATACACAGACATACACCTTGTCTCAGAAAAAAAAAAAAAGCAAGCACTTTATCATGACTACATGCCCCCAGGAAGTGATTTTTGGTGAACAGAGCAGTAAAACCTGTTAACATCAAGTGCTAAAAGCTTGCACGCAAAAGCATAATAAATAAATGATAAATAAATTTGAAAAAAAAAAGCTAAAAGCTTGCATGCATGACCGGGTACCAATCAATAGACAGCTCGGAGGTGGGGACTATGTAAGTCTCCATCTATAGCTGAGGAAACTGGGGACTGCAAAGCAGAAGTGACTGGCGCCCCAGGCCACACAATTACTGGAAGGTGGAGCTGAGATTTGGGCTAGGTTCCCTGGCTCCGGAGATGGAGGTCTTAACTAGACTGAATAATAAAAGAAGCCAATCTCAAAGAATAGGGAGAAGCAGGAGGGAAAAGTGGGGTTCGTCGGGTGGGTGGGCATGTGAGGGAGTTGTGTGCGTGCAAGAAGTCATGTGGCTGGTGGCTCCAGCTACAGGCTGAGGGTGGGGTGGGAACTTTGGATGCATGAGTGGCCCTGATAAAGCCATAAGCTGCCACTCCTCCACCCTGAGATGGAGGTGCCGGGTAGGCCAGCCCTGGGTCACTAGAAAAAAGGTCAAAAACCCAAAGGGACAATTAAGACCTGTCATGCCAAAGCACTGAGGTCTCTTTCATGAACTGGAGTGATGTAGCTGTCCTGGTGGAGAAACGTGACCAAGGGATGCCCCAGAATGTCCAAAGAGGACAGAGAGCCAGGTCAGGGCTGGAGAGACCCCTGGGGTTCTAGGGAGCTAAGGGAGGGTCAGGAAGAAGCTCTGGCAAAACTAAGGAAAGTGCTGGAGAAGGAAGAGCCAGTCTGAGCAGCCCAAAGGTGCTTTAAAGAGGATGCCTTGGGGCCTATGGCAAGTCTGAATGAGGGGAAGCGGTGATGGGGGGAACAGTCTGAGGAAGCCAGGACCCTGCGGAACCTGGGAGGGACCTGAGAAGACGCATAGGAGATTCATAGTGTCCATAAGGGACACAAAAACTTAGTTGTCTGAGGACAGGAATAAAAGACGCCTAGAGGGGTCAGAAAGAGCCTGGGATAGGTAAGAACCGGCCAGGGATAGGAGAGGAGGGTAGGCAGACCTGAGGGACCCGGCAAAGGCCAGTGACCGGAGCCGGGCACCCAAAGTCCGGGTGGTGAGGATGGGTGCAGGGGTCCAGGGAGGGCGGAGGCCCGAAGGTACACAGATGCGGGCCGGGAAGGAGCGGAGGCCGGGGGGGAGGGGGAGCGAACTCACTTGGAGAAGAAGAAGAGGACGGTGGTGCTGAGGATGAGCAGCAGTGTGAGCGCGAAGACGCCGCCGTGGCCGGCCAGCATGAGTCGGCCGCCGCAGTAGAAGCGGTTGCGGCCCGGGAACACCTCCCACTTACGCCGCGGCCGGCGGCCCAGGCTCCCGCTGCCACTGCCGCTGCCGCTGCCGCTCCAGCGCGGTGCTCCGGGCGCGGGCCCGGGGCTCGGAGCGGGGGGCGCGGCGGGGCCGGAGCGGCGCGCCCCGGGGGAGGCGGGCGGCGGGGCGGCCCCGGGGCTGATCTGCTGGTACTCGCAGTCCTTCATGCGGCCGGCCGCGGGCCTCGACTCCGCGCCCCGCGGGCCGGCCGCACCGCTCCGGGACCGGGCCGAGCAGCGGAGGCAGCGGCGGCGCGCGCGTCGCTGGCGGGCGGGCTCGCTCGCTCGGGTTGGCCCCCTCCGCTGCCGCCCCGCCCCCCGGCTCGCTCGGCAGCGCCTCCCGCGACGGGCGCGGGAACTGCAGGTGCGGCCTCCCGGCTCCCTGGGGCCTTTGCGCTCAGTCCCTGTGTTAGGAGGGCTGTGTGCGGGGCACTGGCCGGGAGATTCAGGGGACCCACCGCCGGGCTCGCCCACCGCTGAGGACAGGCCGGGAAGGATGGTACACAACTTGCTTTGAAAGTTCCCAGTGTCCAAAGGGGTATGTGGGAAGTAGCCTCTAGTCTCTCCCTCCCAGCTCTCCTAGGCCTAGACCCGGGTCCAAGCCTGGGTTACTAGATACCCTTAAACGGGGATCATTCCTAAGGACCCTAAGATTTTTTAGGTGGGTGTATTCACAACACACCTAGTGCGGTGGCCCATGCGCCTGTTAGGCTGAGGCAGCTCTTTGTAATTCTAGCTGAGAGTTGCGGGTTCAAGGCCAGGTTATGATACAGGGTGAATTTGCACCCAGCTGGAGCTACAAGTGAGACCCTGACCCACTCGTGAACACACACACACGCACCAACACTCTATATCATATGCCTAAGGTCAGGAGTCCAGAAATATTTTAGCAAATTTTTTTGCGTACGAGTCCCACAAGGCTAGTAGGGCTGGACCAGGCTGTCCCAACTCTCATCTGGAGAGTCAAATGGGGGCCAGTTCCCTCGCAAGCCGTTCAGGTTGTTGGCAGAACTTTCTTTCTTTCTTTCTTTCTTTTAATATTTATTTATATTATTTATTATGTATGTATGCCTGCTGGCCAGAAGAGGGCACTAGACCTCATGACAGATGGTTGTGAGCCACCATGTGGTTGCTGGGAGTTGAACTCAGGACCTTTGGTAGAGCAGGAAATGCTCTTAACCTCTGAGCCATCTCTCCAGCCCCCCTGGCAGAACTTTCTTGTGCTGTAACCGGAGGCCTGGAAATTTGGCTGAGACTCCACCCGAATTTACTAGAGATTATCCAATGACTCACCGTGGAAGTTCCTCCACAGGAGCCATGGCTTTGTGAACCTGACAAGGAGATTGATCTTCGATTTGCCCAGAGTTTGACCTGATATTGTGTTGCTTGGCTATCAAACCAGGGCCTCACACGCTGGGCAGCTACTCAGTCACTGAGCCACGACACCAGCCCTAAGACAGCGTTTGTGTTGTGCGAATGAACGTGTGCGCGCACATGCGCGCGGGGAGGCAGGGTATGCAGGCCCATGCATACGTGGAGGCCTGGAGAAGGTGTCAGATCCTTCAGAGCGAAGTTCAGGAGCAAGCAGAGGATACCTGAACTGCTACAGGGTGCCAGGACCCGAACTCTGGTACTCTTGACTGTTCAACAAGTATTTTTAACTCCTGGGCCATCTCTCCAGTGCCCGAGCCAGAGTATCTATCACTTACTATGTGTGTGGCAGAAATCGCATGTCGTCCCCTTTGCTCTCATCTATGATTAGAAGGAAGTTAGAGGTGGGAGCATCAGAAGGCAGGATCGTTGGTGGTCATTGTACGGTCTGTCCATTGAGTCAAAGATACTGCAAAACCCAAGGAAATGAGACCCCAGGATTGGGACTGGAGAGACTCATGCTAACAATCTCCTCACTAGGCATGCTGAGGTGGGAGGGGAGGGTTGCAAGTCTGAGGCCAGCCAGGGCTGCATAGCAAGATCCTGTCTACAAACAGACAGACAAAAAGATGCAATAGAAAGGGGTAGGAAGCCAGCAGTGGCCGTGAGAACCCCTAATGGGCAAGGTGTGGTGGTCTACTCCTGTAATGTGGCACTTGCCGAGTGGAGGCAAGAGGGCTGGGAGTTCACGTTAACCACAGGTTTGATGGTAGCGTGGGTGACATGGAACCTTGTCTACAAGCAAACAGAATCACAACTGGGTCAGACATGGTGGTCACGCTGTCATCCCAGCACCAGGAGGCAGGGGCAGACAGATTTCTGTGAGTATGAGGCCAGCCTGGTCTACATAGCAAGTCCCTTGCCAGGGCAAACAGAGCTGAAAAATGAGAACCCATCTTATCCTGCCACCAAAACTACAGTGGCACACGTTTTGTTGTTGTTATTGTTTATTTGTTTGTTTTTATTTGCATTGATATTTTGCCTGCATGTATATCTGTGCAAGGGTGTCAGATCTTGGAGTTACAGACAGTTGTGAGCTGCCACGCGAGTGCTGGGAATTGAACCCAGGTCCTCTGGAAGAACAGTCAGTGCTCTTAACCGCTGAACCACCTCTTCAGCCCTGTTTGTTTGTTCTTTGAGACAGGATTTCGCTATGTAGCCCTGGCTGCCCTGGCACTCACTCTGTAGACCAGGCTGGTCTCAAATTTAGAGATCCTCCTGCCTTTGCCTCCTGAGTGCTGGGATTAAAGGCGTGTGCCACCGCCGCCCGGCCTTAGTGACACACGTTTATCATCTTGGTACTTTGGAGGCCAAAGCAAGAAGATCAGAAGTTTAAGGCCATCCTTGGCTATATATCAAAATTGAGGCCAGCTGGGCTTCAGTATAAAACATAAAATAAATAACTCCAAAAATACTTACTAAGAGGCGTGTGTGCCGAAGGCTGCTGACCCACACACTCTTGGCGCTGGAGGCTCTGGATCTGGCGGACTTCACCTTGGGGTGAACCACACTGTGGGCTCTGCCTCTCCTGCTGCCACCCAACTGTGAGATGGTCACCAAACTAGACATGCTGGTCCCACCTTAACTGAATCCTCTTGGAGCCCTAATCCTCCTCCTCCTCTTCTTCTTTTTTTTTTTTAAGATTTATACATATACAGTGTTCGCCTATATGTATGAGGGCACGAGATCTCATTATAGATGGTTGTGAGCCACCATGTGGGTACTGGGAATTGAATTCAGGACCTCTGGAAGAGCAGTCAGTGCTCTTAACCTCTGAGTCATCTCTCCGGCCCTACGCCTCTTCTTAATGCTTGCCACTTTACAGAAGCCTGGACTGTCCCACTTGGCACTCAGTTTCCCTCCTGTCTATATCATAATGTCTATTTGCAGACACCCTTTCTGCTCATATTTTTAAAAATGAATTTATTTCTAACTATGTGCATGTGCCTGTGTCTTCATGTGGGCATGTGTACCTGACTGCAAATGGATCCTCTGGGAGCTGAAGTTTCAGGCAGTTGTGAACTAGCCAGTGTGGGTGCTGAGAACAGAACTCAAGACTCAGGTACTCTGGAAAAACGGTATTACTATTACTATTAATTATTCTGTTTGTTTGTTTTCAAGACAGGGTTTCTCTGTAACTTTGGAGTCTGTCCTGGAACTTAATCTGTAGACCAGGGTGGCCTTGAACTCAGCACTTGGGAGGCAGAGGCAGGTGGGTCTCTGAGTTTGAGGCCAGCTTGTCTACAGAGTGAGTTCCAGATCAGTCAGGACTACGAAGGGAAGCCCTGACTCAATAAACAAACAAACAAATAAATAAAAAGTTCAGTGTAGGTATAGCCTGTAATCCCAGCTTTTTGGATGACTGAGGCAGGAGGATCACTTGATTCCATGCATGAGTTAAATGCTAGCCTGGTCATCAGAGCCAGAACAGAGCAAAGACACTCAAGCCCAAAGCTGGAGCCAGCTTCTATAGCTGCCTCCCACTCTGCACAGCCCGGTGCTGAGAGGAAGGGCTTTCTTTGTAGATGCAAGTAACTGCTCAATGCTAGAGCATGTGAGAGTCCTCCCTGAGCTGCTCAGTGCAGGAGCATGTGTGGGTCCTCCCTGAGAACTCCAGAATATGGACATCAAATGCTAAACTAAGAGAGAGAGAAAGAAAAAAAAAAAACCCATACGAAACAACAGGAGCAGGGAGATTCATGATCAATGGTAAAACATGCTTAACATAGGTAAGACCCTAGGTCCAATTCTCAGCATGAAAACAAGACAATCTAAACAAACAAACAAACACAGAAACAAAACAAGCGAACAGGAGAAGGGCTAGAGTGGCCAAGAGCACTGGCTGCTCTTCCAGAGACCCCCATGGTCCCTTCTCAGCACCCACAAGGTGGCTCACAGCCATCTGTAACTCCAGTTCCAGGGCATCTGATGCCCTCTTCCGGCTTTCACAAGTCTTTAATTCCAGCACTTGGAAGGCAGAGGCGGGAAGATCGCTGAGCTGGAAGGCAGCCTGGTCTACATAGTGAGAGAGACCTTGTCTCAAAAAAAAAAAAAATTTAACTTTGAACTAAAATTTGTATGCTATGAAAATGATGTGGATTATTTCTATGTCCGCAGTTATTTCAACTGTTTTATCATCCTAGTATAAACCATAATTACATACACATACAATAACGAATGCAGGAAATACCAGTGCCTTCCTGGCGCTCTGCTCTGGAACTGGTCACAAAGCAGTAGTTGCTATTTGTAGCATTGCTCCCTGTTCATCCCGTATTCCCTTTGTGCCCTGTCAGGACTCAGCTGTTTATAATTCTCTCCCTGGCAGGGTAATCCAAAGCTCTTCTCTGAATGCTTTGAATCTTCAAGGGGAGTACACCACTGTCCTTCAGTAGTGTCTGAGTGGAGCGGTCATGTGTTTGCTGTCCCCTCTCTCTCGCGGTGGCCGCATGCGGTGCGGAGCCATCTGTAACTGGGCTGGAGACAGTAGGAGCTCCTTAGCGGGAGGAAGTGCAGCGCCGAGTGAGGGCAACGGAAAATTACCTGCCCAAGGGCTTACTTTAGCCGTCACCTCCTGCACACCTCGTTTCTTTACACTTTAGCCCTTAGCATTTAGTTTGATATTTTGCGGGTACACATGCAGCAGCAGCATGTATGCAGGGATCAGAGGTCAACTTGTGGGAGTCAAGTCTCTCCTTCCATCCTGTGAGTTCCAAGGACGGAGCTCAGCTCATCAGCTACGGGGGTGGGGGGTGGGGGGGTGTGGGGGGCAAGCTCCTTTACCCACAGAGCCATTTCCTGGAGCTCAGGTCAGCACATGGCCACTTAATAG